TTGAATTTCTTATCATTTAGAAATAGACTGAAAAGAAATTATATGGATCAGTTCCGTAATTTGTCTAGTACTTAGGCAAATTCAAGTTAGAATAGATTATCTAAGCTTATCTAGAATGAGTAAGATGACTAAATACAAGTATAACGCAGTTCTTTGTTATTTTACTTCAAATAGAGAAAAATTTCAACCCTTTTTTATTTTTACCTTCTTTCAGATCTTCAATACACTCAAATGTTACTTCGAATTGAAAAGGATTAAAGAATAGCGATGGGTTATCAAGTACAACAACATTACAGACATGTACTTTTGCCATCACTGATGTAGTAGCTTTATGACCTTTAAACCCTATTTGAAGTCAATGTAATGATACAATTTCAGAATTCCTTCAAAACTATGCACGAATAAAAACAATGTATAGTTGATTATAGCTTTAAAAAGATAAAAAGGTGCCACGAAATATTCCGACTACTCGCTCTAAAATTGGCGGGAGGAATTGAAAGGCAGTGTTGCCTAATAAACTACAATACAGCAAAATTAACAAAAAAAAGTATTGATAAGTTAATGAAATATTTTCATACAATTAGCTCTAAATTAAAATTTTCCATCATACAGAGATATTAGATATAAAAATTTGCAACCTTTTAAAAAGATTCAAAACAGTTAACTTTAAAACCGCCTCATCCAAGAGAAAAAAATAATAACAAAAAGTTTCTTAATCTGGCAAGGATTTCCATTTTTTATCAGTAGATGACATAATTATGTAAACATGGCGTTGTCATTCCAGGTTGGTTGCTTATTTATAATGCATAATATGTTTTAATTACCAGAATATCTCTGAAAATTGCTGTGTTCATATTTGAATAGGAGTAATTTTATGAAGAATGAAGTGTTTTGAACTTAATAATTAACCTTTTCTCGATAGTTTTTAAATCATGTGTTGCTTTGACTGATGTTTGTTGACTAATTTGTGCTTTCATCCACTCTCCTTAACTTCCTTTTAATTTTTATTGACACATATTTTTATCAACCGCACAAATTCGTATCAGATTTATGATCTAAATAATTATGGTGTAGATGATTTTTTAATGAGGTTATTTAAACTATCATGAAAAAAATTTGTAATAGTATTTAAAAATGTTGTGTTACATTTGGATTACAAAACATGTTTTTGTTATTTATTGTTTTGTAACTGTACTATACATCATATTATATTTCTTATGCTATAGTATAAAATTTTCTTCAATTACAGAATGCATGGAGAGTTTTTATTACTGGCGAAATTTATTTAATACTTAAATGAGAAAAAAACTTTGAAGGTATCAGGTCAAAATTGAGGAAAAAAGGTTTTTTAAAAAAAAAAAAAAAATTTTTTTTTTT